CCCCCCCCCCCCCCCCCCCCCCCCCCCCAAAAAAGGCACGTATAGCCCTGGAGTGATATTTTCTTATAATAACAGCTTTCTACCCATTAATGCAACCCCCCTCCCCCCATAGGTTTCGCCAGGGGAGTTGCCCCAATTCAGATGGCCCTAAACAGCCTAGTGCTTCATGTTATTTTGCACTTTATAATTTACACCAGTCGGTTCCCATTAAGCCGTCATAACCCAACTTTCAAAATTGGTAATCGAGTTAGACCTACAGCTATTAAGGGCGTTGAGGATACGTAATGCTGCCACAATGCGCATCGCCGCGATTCATAAATTAACAGCTGATTGTAATTAGATAACTCTAACAAACAATAAAACAAACTGAACAAATTTACAACCAGCTAATGTACCAGTACGCTTAGACTACAGGAAAAAGTATGCAAAATTTGGCCAATTATGAATGGGAAATCTTTGAAAAATAACCGTTTTGGTCCAATTGAGACAATGAAATGCGCAACTAAAGGCTACTTCCCTCAATTTATTTAATTTAAATCATGCATAAATATCCAAGGTAATAAAGCCTTGTTAAGAAAATGATTAAACAATCAAAACCATGAAATATAAATCAGAAATTATTAAAGGCGCTAAGCAATTCAATGTTAGAAATCGTAGAGCTTTTAACATTGGAAGTAAAGAGTAAGTTTAAATGACAAACGATTAAAATTTGTTTCCATTAGTTTCAAACAAGTGACTAATTAATATTACTAAAGACAAGCTAAGTAAATTATGAATCAATGAACGTACCCTAGGTGAAACAAGATGACTAGGTCGGTCATGCGTAAAAGGTAAACGTGATCCACAGCGGGCCGCATCCAGAGACCAGGATTTTACGTAGTCCTCTCTATTCGGATGGTGGATACGGCGTAGACTAACTTCAGGAGCAGAAGACATTGGTTGGGTCGATCGACCAAAGGAAAGAGAGGAGAAAACCGGAGGAGAAATAGATGAAGGTTGGGTAGTTTGGGACCGAACAAGAGTATACGTCTCAAAATCATTTATATACGTATTTTGAGTAAAATCGGAATCATTATTGGGTACAAAAGACCCTTTCTCTGGAAAGGTACGACTAAGAATTCGAGGGGTGGTTAAGCTGGAAGAAATGCCATTAGAGTGAGAAGAATCTAAAATTTGGACCTGAGAAGAGCATGAAAAAAGTATAATATATCTTACTACTGCGGAAGCAGGTTCAATGGAATCAAGCAGTGGGTACGGAGGAATCGAAGAATTTTGATCACATTTTCTAGCACTTTTCTTAAGGGATTCAATACGATTACGAATGCACTCGTGTTCAGGAGTAGATAAGGGATTTAAACTATAAAATTTAAATAAATGAAACTAATTAACTTGGACAATTCTATTTCATCAATGTCTTCTGGAGCATCAAAATAAATCTCATCATCAGAGCTCATTACTAAAACTGCAAAAAACTGCCAGCCGAATGTATTTGAAGTTATGCCGTTTATTCAATACATTAAAAGTAAAGTGATGGTCAGTGAATTCACAAATTATTAGCTGACATGCCACAAGCGTTATTTTAGAATTCAGCTAAAAATACCATTTTTAAATTACCCTAAGTTGAAATCTTAAGAATCTCAAACATTGAGGCACATGCTGAAACAATGCAATTTTTACTTATCTTCATTGACATTTTTGGGCAAGGCTTTTAGGTGTAAGTGGAATCCCTATTTCATTTGATGCTAAAATATATCACATGTTATAATTTCTTTGTAGGTCCCTCAAAACCACTGTAAAGTAGTTATTCAGTTCACTCAATGTGACATGGTGGCAAGCGATGCTTACCCAATTAACTTAAATTAAAGTTCAGTGAATAACAAATGAGAGGATTTTAATCTGTAATCAGTTGGAAAACCTATGCTCAGTTCCACTTGGCTTGGGGGATCTGGCAATCATCCCATATCCACTGTCGATGTCAAATAAGTATTTGTAAACTTTATGGATTTTATCTTTTACCGTTTAATTTTTTCACTCGAAACAAAGTGTTTTCATGTTCAAATGGTTGTCACACTTTAATTTTATTATAATTAGCATAAGCATTTCTTTTTGAGCATAACCATGTGAAGTGTTATTTATTCTTTCTGCTTTACTCATAGCCACGTAGTGCAAGTTCTCATCCACTGATCTTGAATATACTACAGTTTATTTTAAAACAGCGAATGCCGCAATGATGAAGTGATAAGCGCCTTATCAAATGCTCATTTGCGACAATTGGGTTAATTCTTATTTATTAAACAACAGAAGTCAGTAACTTTTATTCTAATTTGCTTGCTTTCCTTCATTTTTTGACTTATTAGAACTTTATACTTTCCTTTAACATATATAAACCATATGTTCATGCGCCATTTATGTTACTCTATTTTATAATGCCTCATTTTTAGTTATTATCACTAATGTTGGTCGTGTTTATTCAAACCTCACCACTTCATTGATTCGCTCTTAGTCTTTCAACCTCCCTGGTCTTACTTCAATGACCGCAAATTTTAGTTAAGAGGAAAAAGTAAGTCTTAGCTCAAGACCGACATATGCAAAAGTCCTACCAGCACTATCCTCTACCGCCGAGATTAATCTCATTTAACTAAACACATTTTAGACTAGAAATGATAATGATAGGAAAAGAGTTTCAAGAGATTACTATCCTCTACCACCGAGCCGGATAAGAGCCGAATGAATTCCTTAAGGCACTTTCTCAAATACTAATTATTAAAGTGAGTTAAAATAGGGGGAAAAAGTATTTAGATTTGCAAAAGAGATAGTAATTTCATAAAACTATACACATTTTATATAAGAAAAGATAATGATGGGAGAAGAGTTTCAAGGAAATAGATCTCTCAAATCCGCGACCAGTTTCGATAGATACGACCGACAAGCCTCATCCGGATGGGTTTTATTCAATCGCCGCATAAATATTCGCAAATTGCGTCCCAATTTTGGATTGTCCGATGCCACATGGGCAAACTTCTCTAATGTCTTTTTGAATTCTGTTGAAGTTAATTCCGTCACCAGAGCTGAAAGAAGACCCACATTAGCCTCGGACTCATCTCCAAAATTGAATTTCTGAAATGAGGAATAAAAGGGGGTAAAAACTTGAAAAGTAAGGAAATAAATACCAAACTAGGTCATTTTCTTACCTTAAGTAGCGTGAGGGGAAAGTCGTAGACAGAGGCGAGAATACCAAGAGCCTTTCCAGCATTACATTTCGCCTCTTTGGTTAATTCCTCCTTTGACATCACATCCCAGAATGCACATCGCACCATCATCTGAAAAAAATGGTAAAACCGATGAAATATTGACCAATAGAAGAAAGTCAAACCTAGAAGAAGAGGAGGGTAAAAACTACCGCAAAACGTCGATGGTGATTGAGTAGATTTCCCAGAACACGGGTGTAGAATCTATTGAAGGGTTGTTCAGAAATGAGGCAGTGGATTATAATTTGAACAACTTCACGTTCGCGATGGTCGGTGCCGCCTTTTGAGTTAGAACTGCCGCCGCCGCCGCCACCACAACCAGAGCCAACGGCCTCAAGTAAGGCTGTTGCGGTGCTATCTGGGCCCCCAGGTGTAGAAACTAGAATGGCAAAGAGTTGCTGGCGCATTGGAGTGATTAGGCCCAGACGCTGAGCAATTTCTTGCAACTAAAAGAGAAAGGAAATAGGAAATAGCAGTCATTTAGCGAACATTGCGAACAGCACTTTAGAGCACTACCTTCAACAACACGATGCGAGAAGAGCACTGCCAACCAAGACTTCAGTAAAGAAAAAAAATAGTGATCTAGTAAGTTCCATGATCAAACAGGTGTGAACCAATTTATTAAATTTTCCTCTCTAATTCCCAAGTCACGAGCACCTTAATACTTATAGTTTTTAGCAATTGTCTTCACATATTTCCCAATCTAATCATTCTGGCCTTACTACTCAGTTCTCGAACTGAGAGATTAACCGACTTGCGTTCAAGTAGTGTGAACAGGAAACTTGAGTTTGTGGATTAGCTGGGCCATTATGTCCTGAGAGGCTGAGCATTTGTAGGAATCACCCGAAGTAATCAGGCTCGATTTACTTACCTTGGGAGTAAGAGTGACAGCCTTTTTGGAGGAGATAGTCGGATTAACAGCAGCACCAGTACGTAATGGGTCAGAGGGTGTGAGGGCATCGCCAGAGAAAGCGGAACCGACAGCCCACCATCGACCCTTACCCTTCTTCACATTGCGTAACTCCTCAAGGCGAAGGGGTAGTCTTAGCTCTTTTGGAAAGGGGATACCTATACAAGAAGGCAAAGAGCATTTTATTCATTGTTTGCGTCAAAAAAAGAAGAGAGATGATGGAGACCAAACATAATCTTCTTCACTTTTCCCTGGAATAAACCTGGATGTCCATTTTCACTGCTAAAACACATTTTGAAATTTGCTCAAGGGACTATTTGAGGTATCACTAAGAAACTCGTGTTAAAAGTCATTTCACCTCGAATCCAAAAGTGTCGGCTCCTGTGCCTACTGAGATTAAAATACACTCAAGCATTGAAAAACACCCCGAAATGGGATATTCTGCAATTCAGACCACGAAATGGAAGGTCATCATATTCTCGGAATCAATTTTCCTATAAATCACCGTAAAATTGCAGTTCCGAAGTTAAATCGAATTCAGATAGGCATCTGCCACGAAAGTACACGGCATCATAAGTTGATACTTCCTATTCTGACTCACTGCGAGAAAGAGGAGGGTTCTAGACAGAATTGACTGAAATTTGCCACCAACAGACGTCTTTGACAGCTGAGACCCTAACTGCAGACATGAAACAGATTCGCATTCGATTCTTCCATGCCCTGCGGACACCTTTATGAATTCAGAGGAAAACTCACCTTCTCCCGAGTTAAGAAATAATTAACCCGAATTCATTCTGTTGATGAGACTAAGCATTTAATTATCCTGGGAAATACATTTACGCTACGCACTCATCCCGTGAACACCGATTGCGTATAGTTGTGGCTTTTGCATTTGTTACAAATATGGCTTGATCGACTTACCCTTATTCCAACTTTTGATACTTTTGAGAAAGTGATCTGCACTAGAGAGAGCTGGCTCTTTCGAATGCTTCGAGGATAAATTTGATACGATGCCTTCCAGTTCCACACTGCAAAGAAAGCAAACACACGGACGATGAAACAAACAAATAGCGAAATACTTGAGACAGATGGCGGCATAGTGACAAAAATTCAATTACATGAATAGCTCTTCAGGATAAAAAAATGGAATTGAACAAAATATAGCCTAATTTGACGACTCATTCTCTCTCTACAGCTTTTATTGGTCATTAAATACTTGAAGTTGTTTTAACGTAACTTAGTTTAGCTAAAGTAAGTGCTTTCGAAATTGGTTTAAACAATTAGCGTCTGGACAATAAATAAGCGCCTTAATAGATCTGTTTGGGAAAGCGTTTTAATAAGCGGAGAATGAAAAAACTCGCCACCATTTATTAAACTGACTTGACCAACCAAGTCAGCCATTTCGCAAACGGGTTTATCTGGTGTAGGTGG